GATCTGACATTCTGTTTGCGCTCATGCTGTCTCCAGGGAGCAAGGTGCAGCCATTTGAATAAACATGGAGAAGGGAGGAAGGGGGAGGGGCAAAGCAGCCAAAGAGATGACTGCACAAATAACAAGTCTACAAATCTAGAAGAGTAGCTCTCCAGAGGGCTGCCTCAACATGGGACCCTTTGGGGATATGCAGGAAGTGCCCGTTTAGATGGCTGCACTTTTACAGAGTAATGGCTGCAAGTGGCCATTCCCTTCCACTCATTACTGCCACTTAGTAGGTGCTGAACAGCAGTGTGCTGAATGAACACAGGCTTGCGGTGAGCCTAAGCCAAATAGGACACACCCTAGTTACAAAAGCAGGGTCAGCTGGTGGGAGGAAGCCCCCAGTTTTTGGCAGGAGGTGATGTTTTAAAAGACTACCTTCAGGAACAGGATGGGGTCTGTCCTCAGAATCATAGACCCACTATAAGGGCTGGGATATTTGTATGAGAAATGAGGTCTTCACCAAGCAAATCCTGGCATTTGTTTTACAACAGCACTGCACAGGCATCTTGGGAATGAGTGCACATCCCGAGTACTCCATTTTACTTTGTCCATTTATATATAAAGCCAGCAGCTTGTAGGCCACGCCTCATTGCCACCTTGCAACTCTCGATCTTCCTAAAAGTCCACTTAATGTTCCAGACACAGAGATCCTGAATGTGACATCACAGAGAACTCAACACCTCAAATGAGGGCAAACTGTGGTGCTTATAGCACCTCCATGGCTCTTTTTACATTTTCATCAGGTAGATAGCCCAAGCAGTTGTCACTATGTGCTCAAAATGGGAAGTCACTAAAAATGATATTCTATCGATGTCATACTTTATAAAATACAATTCTTTAAGAGATTTCTTTGTAATGATTTTGGTAATCAAAATTAACACCTCCTTTTTAAATTTTGATTAGTCCAGGGGCACCTGCGTGGCTTAGTCAGTTAAGCATCCGACTTAGTCTCAGGTCATAAGCTCCCAGTTCATGGGTTCAAGCCCTGCGTCGGGCTCTTTGCTAACAGCTCAGAGCATGGAGCCTGCTTCAGATTTTGCGTCTCCCTCTCTCTCTACCCCACTCATGAGCGCTCTCTCTCTCTCTCTCTCTGTCTCTCAAAGATAAACATTAAAAAATAAAACAAATAAAAAAATAAAATTTTGATTAGTCTGAATAAAACAGTTTCATGGATTGCAAAAATGATGAGGCCCATGTCACAGGTGAGGTCACTGGCTCCCAATAAGCAAAATTATTTAAATACCACATATTTACAAAGGTCACTAATTATTCATGGTGTGTATAAAATTTTATTTGTGCTCTTTCAATGATCATTATTTCTTAGTTTGAATGTTTGAGTAATGTTTTGGATTGTCAGACACAGAGCTCCCAAATGCTAGTTCACGATCACATATACAAAAAAACGCAACAACAACAACAACAACCACCACCTAGCAAGAAATGTTCAAATGAAGATTTTAATAAAGTACTAAGAATCAGGCTTTTAAAATGACAGTCTAATCTGTGGCATCTCTTTAACAGCTGGAAGTTTCCCATTATAACATGTATCAAGCAAAAGAATTGCAAAGGTCTCCTGCAACATTTCTAGGCCGATGTGGGTGTTAACACCTTGTTTTAAGCAGCAGCAGTTAGTCCTTTATCATATGACTTCAATTATTATGGCATATATGGAAGCCTATTCCTTCTAATCAGCATGCCACAACATGAATGAGAAAAGGGGCTGAATGGAATAGCTCTTTGCTTGTCTGAAAACGCTGATTTAAAAGGGTCTGGAGATGGCTGAATATCACTATTCTTTCTCTCAATCCAACAGAAGCTTTTAAGGCAGAGGCCCCCCTAGGAAATCATCAAGTTCTCACAGGGCCTCACCCATGGAGCACTCTTTAATTTCATCTACCCAGGTAAAATAAAGCAGCATCCAAATTAATTCATATGTATGGCCTGATAGGTCAGTCACTAATCATACTGCACAGTCAAGTCCAAAACTGCTTTCTGGAAATGGCACCTAGAGTTTTGGGCCCAGCCCCACCCATGACACACGTCTCCTGACTTAAGTGATTCTCAGCCGTGGCGATTGGGAAAATCATCTCTGCAAGGGAGGACTCAAAAGAATTTGTCACTAGGATACAGTGACACCAATCCCACATTTTGTGGTTAATAAAACAAGTCCTGCATCCAGCTTGGCACAAGGCCCTGATCTGATTTATTTCAAGCCAAGCTGGAGGGCTCACAGGAAAAGCTGCCATTCATGAATGCTTCAGGAGGACAGGATGCCAGGGTCCCTTGTGGCAAAATTTACAGGGCCAGAATTCTTCCTGATTGACCTTTTGAATAAACATAACCTATTTCCTAAAGAGCTGGTATGTTTTAAAAAATTAACAGTTTTACCTCAGTTTTGCCTGACATTTTTCTACAAAAAGGTGTCCTGTGGAAGTAAGAAAAGTGGGGAGTATGGGGAGAAGAGAAGAAAGGCTCAGATATCTGATTTAACCATCTCAAACATCAAAGGCTTGACTTTTTCCCCTTCCTCAGTGTAACTAAATATGAGACATATAAGACTTTCTCGGGAAAGTCTACATACAGTCTTCGTTTAAGATTTCCTGCCCCAGTATATAATTAGGAATTTTCATTTTAAAATGGCACACCTATTTCCTCAGAGAGCTCAGCTTTCTTTGAATAAAAAAAAGGTGAGGTACCCTTCGGGGGACTCAGCATGTATTTTTAGACTTCTTATTAAATCAACCTAATTTATGAGGCATGTTCGGGAAAAGCAGGTAAGGAGTTGCTTTGGTGGATGCAAAGTTAATTTGCAGACTCTAACATTACCCCCCTCCTTCGTTCCCGCCCCCCTCCTCCCACGAGCCTTTCCGAATGCCTTCGCCCCCCTCCGAAGCGGCTCGGTTTTCTCCGCCGGGGCCCCGACTCTGTTCCGAACACTGCCGAGTCCCTCCGAGCCCCGCGCCCAGCCCGCACCGAGCCGAGCCGAGCGTCGCCGAGCTCAGCCCCATCGACTTTTCCGGCCTCAGCTGGGCGCTGTCCACCACTCGCAACGGCTGAAACCTCACCCAGCCCCTGTGGTTGGGGCTTCTACCCGGCTCCGAGGCCACCACTGCAGATTACAGACTTTGGAAGTTTTGAAACATCCCCACCCCCCCCTTTGGGAGAGAGGGGTGGCGCTGCTTCATTTACCGACCTGAAAGGGCTCCAGGCAGATGCAACATGCACCTTGTTGCAAAGAGCAATTCCCCAGGCCCCGCCTCGCCATCCATTTGGGCTGCACAAGCTCCAAAGAAGCCCCAGGCCAAATTACCCGTGGCTCAGAGGGGTGCGGCGAGCCGAAGGGGCCGCTGCAAAGAAAGCCCCAGGGAGCTCTCGAACGAAAATAAGAATATGTCAAGCAGACGCGGGGGGGGGGCGACGGGGGGGGGAGAGATTGTCTCCGAGTCGCTACTCCCTACCATCATGGCGCCGCCTAGAACCCGCTTGTCATGCCTGTTACACATGCAAGATTTTTTGCATCTTGGTTCTGAAACCGCAACGAACGAAGCATGCTTCGTCTCCCACCCACCTTTCCGTCAAAGGGGTTTTTATTTTCCATTGTTTTCCTACGGGATGCAATTACTTCAGCTATTCTGTCAAGTTGAAAAATAATCATTTTTGTTTACTGCACAGCAACCCCTAATTAGGAGCTGTGTGTGCACGAAGGTGTCACAGCAAAGCGACGTGGAATCCTCGCTAAACGGTCTTAACGAACTCCTCCGTCCAGCACTGACAGGCCAACGGAAGCAGCAGGGCCAGGAGGCCCCGAGGGCACCCACCCCTTCCCCACAGACCACCCCCTCCCAAGCAAAGCTGCCTGTGGGCTTACCAGGAATTGCCCAATGGATGGGGCAAGAAGCAAGCCTGAGAGTGGGAAGGAGGGGCGAGGCTCCTTACCGAGAAAGTGTGGAAGGGAAGAAATATCCCATTTTGTTTTAATTTTCAACCATCACTCAAATCCACCCCCAGTTAATTAGGAGGGGAAACTGATATCTAAGGCAGAAGGGGGCGGTGGCAAGTGGGGCCTGAAATCCGCATTGTGGGTAGATTACATGGAACATGGCCTATGCAGAGTATAAATAAATACATTGATAAAGGCCACAGAGTGAAGGAAAACTGCTGGTGTCAGGAGAGCAAACGCTCGGGGGGGGGGATGAGGGGGGGAAACAAGGGACAGGCATTCAGCTTCAACCAGAGTCCCCCTTCCAGAGTCTGCCTTGGATACAGCTGTGCCAGTCACATCTGCTTGGAAATCCACCCCTCTCCCCTACCACTTGCCCCTTTCCCTAACCCTAGACCTTTTGGGGACAGGACGTCGGGGGAGTGGGGGGGGGGCAAAAACGACAACCTCCAGTTCAGCACCAAATCCATGAACAGCAGACACTTGATCCTCCACCCCAGTCTAGGGCTGGGTCCCCTCCATGTTTTAGCCAAGTTCAAAATCACTGCCCCAGAAGAAGAGCAGGGGGAAGGGACTGTGGATGGGGGGGGGGGCGGAATGGAGGGAGGAGGAGAGAGAAATACAGAATGAAACAGAGACACATAGATAGAAATGGAGGTAGTGATACACCCAACGATCAAGAAAGAGTAATGATCATAATCATGCCAATAGTGTGATGTTCTGATCAATATGGCGGACACTGTCATTCATACAACTACAGGCACTCCATTTCCCTCCCCCACCCCACAAAAAAAAAAAAAACACCCACCGGGGAGTTGGGGTGGAGGACCCAGAACCAACGTAGGGCGTGGGGGAGGGGAGTCAAATTCAGGTGTGTGTGTGTGTGTGTGTGTGTGTGTGTGTGTGTACGAATCAGAAACCAGGCCTGGAGAGGAATGTGGAATGAACAAGATAATACAAACGACAAAAAATTATTCTTAATAAAAGTACAAATCCCAAGGCCACAGGGACTTACTTCATCTGCTTCACAATGGTGCTTTTTCCTGATTCTCCAGCCCCTGTTGGGACAGACGGGGGGGGGAAAAACTGGTGAGTGTCAGCTTGGGGGAACCGGGGTGGGGGGGCATGGGGGTAAGGCGTGCGAGAGGGTGGACGATCCTAGGCACACAGTGGTTCCAACTCAGGGACCAGGTCTCCCCAGGCACGAGCAGGGTGGGAGAGCAGGCAGAGGTGGGTGCGGAGTGGCCGGGGTCGGGAGATGGGGGTGGCAGCCCCGGTCCTTACCCAGCAGGAGTAATTTCACGTCTTTGGCGGCGCTGATGCCATCCTCTTTGAGGTTTTTCTCAATCGCCTTGCTCCGCTCGAGGGCGGCTCTCTCCTCTGCGCTCAGAGTACATCCCATGGTGGCCCCTTCCCTGCCACAGCCCGCACGACTCGGCTGGCACGGCTCCCCGGCTCGGCGCGCCCCCCACCCCCCCAGAGAGCAGAGCCTGGGCTCAAAGGGGAAAAAACCACGATATCCTTCCCTTGGCCGAAAACAAAAATGTCGGGAAACCAGAACCCCCCAAAAAGACAGCCGCTAAGATTCCAGCAGCGGAGACTCGCGACAGCTGGCGGGTTCTAGGGGAGTCGAGGAGAAGGTGGCCGGGGTCTGGGGCTCCGGGGCCGAGGGAAGAGGCGCCCGCGGTCCGTGGAGGCGCGGGCTGCAGGCACTGAGGCTGGTGCACGACCCAAAATAAATAAAATAATAGTTGAGGCAGGAGCCGCAGCCGGAGCCGGCGGAGGGTGGGGTGGGGGGCAGGGTGGGTCCTTCTGCCGCTGCTGCCAGAGGAGGAGGAGGAGGCGGCGGCGCGGGGTGTGGAGGGACTGAGAGAGGGGGTGCTGCTAGTGCATGTGCATCGCGGGTCCTCAGCCGTCGGTGCGTCCGCGGCGCCTTCGCCGACCCCCGCGCGCAGGGCAGGGCTGGGCAGGGGGCCGGGCCGGGGGGCAGGTCTCTAGCGGGAGGCGGCGTCGCTGTCTCCCAGAGCTCGCATCGCTCGGAGGAGCCTACCGGAGAGAGAGGGAGAGCGAGGGAGCCGCAGGCAGCCAAGAGCTCGAGGGGGAGAGAGAGAGGGAGAGAGGCTGGGAGGGAGGGGAGAAAAAAATGAAGGGAGAGCCAGCGAGCGCGCGCGCGCCACAGCCCGGGCGGGGGAGGGGGCGAGCTCAGCGCGCGAGTGCGCCAGCGGCTCTGCGCACCCCGCACCGCAAGCCGCCCGCTGACGTCAGCAGGGCCGCGCGCCGGGCCCCCGGGACAGGGAGGGGTGGGGGACGGGGGAGGCGCGCGCGCCGGGAACCGCGTCAGCCGCCGGCGGCGCGCGCGCGCGCTCTCCCCTCCTCCCAGCGCTCCCGGGCCCGCGGCTCCCTGAGGTGGGCGCGTGCGGGGCCCGGCGGGGGCGGAGCCTGGGGCCCGGCGCACGCCGGGGTGCCCCGCCCCGCCCCCGCCCCCGCCCGACGCGCGGGCGCCGCGGACCTCCTGGTCAATGGGAGCCGGGGACTGGGCTGTCCGCGCCGCGGTCAGGTGGGCCTCCCGGCTGGAGCCCCGCGCCGCCCTCCTTGCTCTCCCGCTTCCGCTCCATCTTGGCTCCAGCAGCTCGCCTTCTTGGTTACTCTCCTGCCGCCGGGGCTGTGGCAGCTGAGACCAAGTGACCTCAGCGAACGCGAGGAGACAGTGGGTCTGAGTTAACCCCGCGTTCCGGAGAATTCGCCTGTGGCATGGGGGCGGACGCAGACGGTTCTAAAGACCCGCAGTCTTTAATTGAGCACCTAGTATGTGAGAGAGGAGACTGAGCAGAGGAACAGCGGGATGAGACAAAGCCAGGGCCTGTTCTCTAGGAGCCTCTACCTCACTGTGCTATCGAGGACCCTGCTCCGAGATTCTCGGCCATAGGTATCTGCGCAAGAGACAAGTCCCACTCTGGGAAGCTTTTGGTTGGGAGGGACCCCGGTTTTCATGAGCTTCTAGCACATCATTACTCTTTCAACCCAGAGTTTAAACGCCTTTGCGCCTTTTGAACGGTTTCGCTTGGTTGAAATCTTTGCATTTAATTCCCTTGTCCTGCCCCTTCCCCTAAACACAAATAAATGAATGTTAAGTAGATTTTTGGCGAAAGAAGAGATTTTCTTCCTTTCTTCAATTTTTTAAAACACGTCCCCCCCCCCCCCCCCCCCCCCCCCCCCCCGCCCCCATCCCTTTTTCAAATAAAGACTCAGAGACCCGGGTCAGTTACTCAGCATACAGCTAATCAGATACCGAGGAAACACGTACACATTTGCCAAAAATCAGGCGTGTTCTGGGTGGTCTCTGAGATTCTGAAGAAAGTAGTTCTCAGTGCACAAAATGGTTTTACAGTAGACAGTTCCAGAAGGCAGCCCCAGGGGCCCTCCTAGAGAAAGGGGCCAATAGGAAAGGTTGCTTGGGGATAGGACAGGCAAGAAGCCAGTAGAAAATGTTTTTTTCTAACAGTTGGGCACTTCTATGGCTCTGAAAGCAAGCCTGTTTGTTTCATTTCAACAACAGAAAAAAAGCACCCCTGTTTTGGAAATATTACCCAGCATAAAAATATATTTGCAATGGGGGTGGAGGGGAAGGCAGTTAAGGCCCACCCAGAAGAAAACATTTTTTTCCTTGAATTTTTTAACGTGTTATTTGTCTCTTTCTATAAATAGCTATGTCAAAAGCTGTATGTAATGCAGTTTGAATATTTAAACTTGAATCACATTTTGTGTATTCTAGGAAACTGACAAAGGACTTATAAAGAATTGTTTTATAAAATAAATAACTTCTTCGCTACCTACCCAGATCCCAGCCTCCTTTGGTGTGTTTATTGAGGAGGAGACCTTAAGGAATATATCTGGTTGCTGAAAATTAGTGTGTCACTAAAAGTCAGCCTTCCAGATCCAAAACAGCCTCAGGTACCCAACATTCTATAGAATCTGCTTTACCTCTACAGGTTGCTAGGATGATTATGCAGATCTATCTGATACAGGGGGAAAAATCAGCAACCTCACCCAGATTCTGCTAACCCTACAAGACTGCATCTGAAAGACCAAAGAGGTAAGAATATAACCATTTTTTTTAAAGATGATGGGTCATATCTTATATTTTAATCCTTTTTCATATCAAGTAGTTTTTGAGATCTTAGGCTATTGGGGGATTGTGGCTTAAACCATTGAATCAAACTCTCCTTGATTTTAGTTATACTTATTCCTTCTTCATATCACACCTAGTATGGTGAAGGCATAGACATGTTTTTTGTGTGTGTTTTTCTTTACTCAGTACTTTTTAAGCACCCTATCTACCATGCCCCAGGTAATGTTCTAAGCACAATAGATACTGTATTTCAGGTTTGCCTACCCTGTTTTCTTGCTCTGGGGCACTTGCATCTTTATAACTGGGATTCGTAAAGCAACCAATAATAATATCCTTCGTCTATATAGTGCTTTACAGTTCATGGAACACTTTTATAAATATTACCTCTTAGGATCTTCCTATGTAAACCTCAGTTAGGCTCTGTGGTGTTGGGAGTGTCATGGCGGAGTGGAAGGAGCTTGGAGTATGAATCCAGATCAGCCTGGGTATCCATTTTACAGCTGAGAAAACTGAGCCTCTGAATGGGAGAATAACTTGTTCAAGGTCACACCATCATTAAGTAATAAACCAGGGCTCCTATTATGGGTTTGTGGATTATTTGAGAAATAGCATGTTGTATAAGAATACTTTCTAGACTCTGAGAATGTTCACAACCCCAGAACCCACCAATATTAGCCCCCCTCACCCCATAAAGGAAATGAGGATGAGAACATCTGTTTTCTGTGAGTCATTAGTAATTAGATGATACTACAAGTGTTTAATTTGTCCACAATTAATTCCTGTGGGAATAGGGAAATTACAATCCTAACATCAGGAGTGATCAAGGACAGATTCATTTGCTTTTATTTTGTATGATCCTCAGAACTATGTTTCTCTGATTATTGCTGTTGGCCAGAGAATCATGCTAACTTACCCAGTCCTCGGTCAACTATCCGCCTTGCCATTCTCACACACTGCGTGGCATACTTTAAGGGTGTGTGTGTGTGTGTGTGTGTGTGTGTGTGTGTTTTAGAGAGAGAGAGAGAGTGTGCGCACGTGGGAGAGGGGCAGAGAGAGAGGGAGACAGAGAATCCGAAGCAAGCTTATTGCTGTCAGTGCAGAGCCTGATACAGGGCTCGAACTCATGAACCATGAGATGGTGACCTGAGCCTAAGTTGTCTGCTGAAACAACTGAGCCACCCAGGTGCCCCTGAGTTTTAAAATTAGATAATTAGAATGTTTTGTAAGAGGAACAACAGCCAAAGCCTATGTTAAGTCTTTTTATTACATGTGGCTTCTAATTCTGGAGGATGGTAATTTATGACACATGCAAGACCCCGCAGTTTTGACTCAAAGAATGTGGGCTCTTATTAAGTGTACTAAACTTCCCTATTTTCCCCTTTTGTGATTAATCAAATATGCATGTATTGACAATCTGTTGTGTTTAATATATTGATTTTGATTCAAAGGAAGGTTTAGGTAGGTATAAGCTTGGATTCTTGAAATCCGTGGGATGTTTTATTCAAAAACATTCACATCAGAATTAGCTGAGATGCTACATAAAAATTCAGTTACCCACCATGCTTCTACCAAGTCAGACTCTTCTGCAATCCATATTGATAGCCAGTCCCCAGATGATTTTCTATACAAAATGCTAGAGCTTATACATACAATCTGTATGTGCCAATTAATTCTGCTAGGAGTTACTTTTTAAAAGTCTCATATTTCACATGTTTCTGAATTCAACTTTTTAAAAAATGTTTTATTTTTGAAGTGGGGAGGGGCATAGAGAGAGAGGGGGACAGAGGATCTGAAGTGGGCTCTGTGCTGACAGCAGACATACCGATGCGGGGCTCAAACTCACGAACTGGGAGATCATGACCTGAGTTGAAGTAGGATTCTCAACCGACTGAGCCACCAAGGTGCCCCTCAACTTTTAAAATGTTTATTGTTTTAAAAATATATTTGTCAAAGGAAAATATGAAAATTGCTATTCCTTTTGAGTACTATTGTCATGATAAGAAAATAGGCTAAAATGTGTGGTTCCTGAACTAAATGAAACCAAACTAAATGTCAGGTGAATTTGGCATTTTACAGAGAATAGTAGATCACTAGAGACTTGAAGTTTCTTCACTAAGAGTTTCTTTTTTTAATATTTTATTTATTTCTGAGAGAGAGAGAGAGAGAGAGAGGCAACGTGAGCAGGGGAGGGTCAGAGAGAGAGGGAGATACAGAATCCAAAGCAGGCTCCAGGCTCTGAACTAGCTGTCAGCACAGAGCCCAACGTGGGGCTTGAACCCACGAACCATGAGATAGATCATGACCTGAGCCAAAGTCGATGCTTAACCGACTGAGCCACCCAGGCGCTCCTCTTCACTAAGAGTTTCTATTATGAAATTGATAACTCACGATATAACTTAATAGTCAATATAATTTAGAAAATTGTCTGGGCCAGACTAACAGATGACTTCGTGTATTCTGATAGATAGCTGGCATTAATGAAGGAAGGTGCTGATCAAGTTTTTGTTTCTTTCCCTAAAAGACAGCCCCCGCCCCCCACCATTTAGTCCATGTTCACTACTTCTCTGACTGATTTATTTTGAACACATTTCTCAAACCTGTTGAAACAGTGGTTCTCAAATGTCAAATGGTGCTAAGAATTACCTGGGATGCTTTTAAAAATGTGGATTCATGGGTCTCATCCCTAAAA